CCCCCCCCCCTCCCCCCCCCGCCCCCCTGGGCGTGCCGGCAAAAACCCGGCAATATTGCTCCGTCCCTGCGTTGTAGGGATGCGAGGCCAATGGGCTAACGAATATGGCATGCACGACCATGAGTACAACCCGGCCCCCCCGGGCGTATTGGGGGTAGCGGGAATTAGGTGACTCTACCATTCGTTTCGAGCTGCTGTATGCGGGTGAGAAAAAGCGGTTGAAGGTTCTCGGGCCGGGAGGTGGACGGGTGGGTGGGCAGGCAAGCAATTTGGGGATTGTTATTATGCCGCTGATTGCTGCTTTTGGGTTGAGGGGTGGTATTAGACGAAATGCCCCAACACGTGTGACCCTTTTTCACAACCTTGGGCGTGATAAATATCAGTAAACATACATGAACAAGACAGACTATCGCAGGATTTGTTTTCCTCGCCGAGTGTGTGTAGAGTTTCAGGTTTTGTTTTGACCGTCGGCGTTCTTTGCCGCACGGTAGAGATTCGCAGTGGCTATTTGTCGCAGCGACTTTTTGGGGGGCGGGTGTGGCCGAGGGGGAGCTCTCGCCGATGCCCCGATTGGATAGCACAATATGTATGTGGCGGACGGATGAGCAGGAAACGGGGAGTGTCGACATCGTGTCTTGCTGTCGCAAGCGTGTGAATTCTCCTCGATGTGTCCTGTTAATTAGTTAGCAATCGCCCCGTCCGGGTCGGTAAGTATCTTGGGGCTGAAACTCTTCAGATCATGATTTATTGCTTGATTTGGGTCTGTTTGAAAGGCCAGCAACAGGAGAAGCATACAATAACAGGTGAACGAAATTAATTGCAGACCCTCGGTGAGAAACAGACGATTGGTTTTTCCCATAATCTAGAAAAGCTTTCCCAGACAGATTAGCTACAGCACTTATGTTCGACCATCGACCTGTGGTTTAAATACAAGTAGGTTGAACTTTTCACACACACCCTCCCGCGCACCCGTCAAACGCTACTTCCATACCCATTGCGAGCAAGTGTGAAATCAGGAAATCAGTGCGTCGATTGAGAGCGGTGCTTGGCGCTCGGCGAACTTCCATGTGCATTCCACTTAAACGTGAACAACATTGAAACCCCGCCAGTCTAAATGAATGTATTATATTATTGACCACCAAGTAGCTTGCATATTTTCGCGGTGTCCCTAACGTACTTTTTTGCTCTACAACAACGAGAGAGGGAGGCCAAGTCTCCTCCCCTGTTGGTGCGTCATGTGTACCGAAAAGCGTGTTGTCGGTCGTTCAGTGTGTAGACTAAGTAGTTGGACCTGAGAGGACACGCTGTGCCTCACCGGGGTGTATTGGCTAGAGAGTTACAGGCACCAGTGGCACAACGTTGTTACAGCGGTGCATTTCGTGATACACAGCATCATCAGTGAGAGACAGTGATGATCGTACTGCAACCCACAGGTAAAGGAACCAATGAAGGAAACCAAGAACCCGCACCTCTCGCTAAACTTCGAGCTATCAACCTTGCCGGCGAACGTACAGAGAGCTCATATGCTGTCGAGAGAATGACATTTCATTTGTGCTGGCTTGCTAGACTTCCTTCCAAAGAGGCTCCGCGAAATCAGCAAGCAAAGTGGTTCTTGACGCTCCCCCCCGCACCCTCACCGTAAAAAAAAAAGGCGGGCGAGGTTTGTGTTGTCCTCTCCGTCTTCCTGTGTCGGCACTCGAAGGTAAACACGCCGGACGGCATCGCTTGGAAGGCAAGGAGTATCGAACGCCACCCTCTACAGGCCTCGGCGTGTGTCATCACCCGCCGTGAGGTAAGGAAACACGTTGCACGTAGAGTCGATGAGCTTTTGGTTTGGGGTTACGGAAAATTGGCGCACGTTCTCTACCCCTCTCTCTTCCCCATTTCCCTTGTTCCCCTGCTGCTGCTGCTGCTGCTGCTGGGGGTGTAAAGCCTTTGGCGTTCCGCGCGCGGGCGTTGCGTGCGTCCTCCTCGTAGCACGCACCCCGCCTGGTATCGAACGAATCTGCTGGTTGCGTCGGTGTTGGCGTTGTTGGCGCCCCCGGATCCGAGCCCTTTTCAACCATGAGAGAGAAAGAGAGGCGTCGAGAGAGACAAGACCCGGCGTTAGAAAAGTGGAGAGAGTGTTGGCCACATGTGATTAGAGAGGTAATCTCCCTGGGCCCACCCATGTGGGCCGGCGTTGACTTGTATTTCGGAGAGAGGGCTCGCCGAGGGCCGTGTGTATACATGCTTTTTACGGGTGAGGTCGATGCCACGCTCAAAAGTTACGCAAGAAAGGTTGCGTTTTCCTTCCCAACAAACACAAACTATTATAGCGGTATAGGGATCAGTAACACACGTGTGGGTGGGTGTGTGACCAGCAAGCAGCATGCACGTGGATTTGAAACGCGACATTATTTTTCATGTGAATACAAGACTACTGCGGGAGAGGGTGGAAAAAAAGGGGATGGCCTCCAGTTCCTGTTGTATCTGCCAGCTTGGCTCGAACGGCGTGTCGGTTGTCCAAGCCGGGTGCCCACGACTTACCGGTCGCCGTGAATTCCGACTGCGGAAGATTGTGACAAACCATCAATTTGCCGCGGTCTGCCTGCCACACTACTGTCAGCAGAGAGAGCCTTTCGACTGATCGCGTCTCTAGTAACAGTGGTCGAGCTCAACGGCACCTCGCTTTCGTTTGTCTCTCTGAAAATGACAACGCCGACAGCACTTTGTTGATGCTACACCCATCCCCCGCCGTTAAGAGTGAAGCATGGACAGATACCATCACACGGCGGTGTCGTTGTTGTTGTTGTTGTTTTTATTGCCTACAAGTAGTCTATGCCTGTCCCCACAAACCCGTTGCGAATTGTTATGAATACATAATATACAGCAGTGTGCTGTCGTCGCCATCTCTACCACGAGACACAGAACTGCCTTTACCACGTGACAATCATGGTGCACTAGAAAATCATGGCAGTAGTCAGATTGCCACATTGTGCTCGGGGGGTCAACATCCCACGAAAGCATAATGCAAATTTGGTCATTTCATCACACGCGTAACTTGGCGTTTGGCAAAAAACCGAGAAAAATATGAGGGAATGAGGAGAATGGGGAAAGGCGTTGTAGTTGGCAGGAATGGCTTCATGCCCTCCTCGCGGTGCTCCTGTCGGGGGGGGGCGTGGATCAAGAATATCATCATCTGCGCTTCATCGTCATGTCGGGCTGGCGTGTTTTTGGTGGCCAGTCGCAAGCAGCTGTAGTGCGGTTTAGTCTACTGCCGTGTCAAAGATATGAGACAAACCCTCGCGGGTGGAGATTTATGAACGCTTTCACGCGGACGGCTAGCTAAGCGCCGCCGACGCTGTGGCGATACTAAACGCTAACAAGAAAAAGCGTCCGAATAAAAAACCTGCGTCTTGTTTCTTTTCAGGTCTCCTGACCCTCGGGAGCTGGGGCGGTAGCCTACGCCGTATGGACGGTAGAGGAAGGGTTGGGCGGGTGTTGTCATTGTTTGGTTTTGTGGGGCGGGGGGCGGGACGGAGGGCGAGTTTCCAACCAAGGGAGCCGGCGGAGGGGCAGCGAGGGAGCGGAGAGAAAGTTTGAGCGTTCTTCCCGTGGGCTTGATTTTGTTGCACGTCCCCGGGGTTTGTGTGCGTAGTATAGGAAGAGGAGGGAGTAAGGAGTAAGGAAGCGCTGGTGTCGGGTTAGCGCCCCAGCGAAAAGGCGAGAGGGAGGCAGACCAGGAGAGAGGCCGAAAAACGGTTGCGCACTCGCTTTTGTGTGTGCGCAATTTTTTGCTGACGGGGCGCGAGCGAACGAGCGGGGCACACCACCACCGCGGTCGCCGCAGGAGGGGGNGGGGGGGGGGGGGGGGGGGGGGGGGGGGGGGGGGGGGGGGGGCAGTGAGGACACACTCGCATGTCGTCGGCCACCCGGGCGGGTTTGAGCCCCAATGGAAGCCCCAAGCCCAAGCAGGGGGAGCTGTCGGCTCTCCAGGCCGCGGCGCAGAGGGAAATCGCCGCCGCCGCCGGAGCGGGGGCGGTGGACGCGTCGACGGGGATGGCGGTAGGGCACGTGTCGAACTACCTGTCGCTGCGGCTGGACCGGCCCCTAGAGGGGTGCCAGCTGCGTCCACGGGTGTACGTGTACTCGAAGCTCATGACCACGACCGGGGTGGCGAACAAGGCCTACAGCAACACGGACCACCGCTTCCAGTACACGTGGAGTCGAGGGCCAGAGCGACAGGTGTGTGTGTGTGTGTTTTTTTTTATTATTATTAGCATCGACCACGCTAACCGGCTGACCAATTAAAAGACGTCAGTGCCAGCGGGTAAAAATCAAGGTCCCTGGAAGGGGGCCAAAATTCGAAAATGCGCAATGCGCTTGATGCGAATGCCAATTCGACTCTCTTCACATGTTCTTTCACGTAGACACACATCTCAGCTACACAAATGCCCTCGCTCGAATCTAGGAAGCCACTGATGCAAAGAGCGGAGGACAGCAAAAGG